ATTATACCAAATAAAAGCGAAATACCTAAGGTTTCTATTTAAAAAAAATTAATTTCATTTGTTCATTTTTGAAAAAGTTATGGTAGTTTTAAGAAAAAAAATTAAAAAATTATTGATTTTATAATTGTAAATTTTCTTTGGAGATTTCCCCATTTACGAGGAACGACGGAAATTTTTTCAAGTTTTAAGGATAATGTCTTAAACCAGATACCATTTATGATCTTATGACGTATTGTTGAAAGAAATCGGTCCAGTGAGAGGTGAGGAAAAATGAAATTAGACACAAAAAAATAACACATCATAGTAAAATTAATACCTTCTCAGCTTCGCATCGAAGCTAAAAATAAATTAAGTGAAGCAGTGTAAACGAGTGGAACAGTTTTATTTTATTAAGAAAAATTATAAACTATACATAGAGTTGTATAATAAGCAATTATCATAACAATTTTATTTACAAATAACATGAATAACGAATTTGGGGAAACACCCAATGGCGCCATACGACTTGGGACAATTTTAAATTAACAATTTTATTTAAATAACAAGAAATTATTTTGTATTAAAAAATGCTATTTTCTTTTTAAAAACGTTAACATTGTTATCTATGTAACTACAACTCAAAGAAACAACAAAAGATATTCCTATAAAAATGTAATTTACAATTACTCTTCTTCATTTTATTTAAAGTAATCTTCATATATTAACAGATTAAATAAATGCGTATCTAAAAGAAATTAAATTTGTTATCATATTGTTAATTTGTAAATTAAGTTAAAATAATTATTAAAAAAGTATTATATGGTTCACAACATCGTATATATTTTATATTTTCTATAAACTTACCACGATATATAATCATAAAACTATAATAAAAGAAGAAGTTTAATATAATATTTCGATTTCTGTATGATTTTACAATCTTTGTTTTACTTCACAACGTGGTTTCTAGAAGGTAAGCATAATGTATACCCAAAGAATACCTATTGAAGTCGTAATCAACCTTACTTGTATAGATATAGATATTATCAAGTATCTATTTACCTTTATGGTCAACCAACAAATAATATAGCAACAGTACACAAATCTAACCCTTAGCATGCATCGATAACAACCGTCAAATCTTTTGTTCATCACCTACACACATTTAGGGGATGACAAGAAACCTGCAAGATAAAAGATGGTGGAGGCAATGACACCGGCTGCAGTTCGCGAAACGCGTAGGGTGGTTTTATTGAAAAGAGAACAGTTATTCATTTTTAGTCTCACAAAATATAATATATCGTTTCTTCCTATCATGGAATGGACGACGGACTACTCGGACACATAGAAGCTGGCAGTTTCAGGCAGCTGTTTTTTCGATAATAATAATACTGTTATGCACCGACGTAAACATTCGGTTATTTATAAAATCAGTGTAAATTGAAAAGAGCAAAATGTCATAGACAAAATCACTGTGTCAAAAAAATTGATATAAACACATACTCAGTAAAAAATTACTTTTTTGATAACATCGCTAAAAAATTATTATAAAAACTTGAAATATATCAAGTAAAAAGCTGTAAAATATTAACTAATACGACTGGAAGTATAAAAAATAAAATCTGGTAACTAAACAGTCGACATTACTGCAGTACTAATTTGAATAATAATACAAAATATGTTGTAGAAATCTTTTTTATTAAATAAAAAAATTAAATTTCATCGTCAGATTTTCGGAGTCCTTTTAAGCACAGTACTCTAAGAAACTACATTATCCTTTTAAAAGATCACAATTATTGACTAAATATTCAGTTAATAAATGAAAATAAGGTCTAGTTTTTACGTTTTAAATTATATTATAAGTTCGCTGAGTGTTTCAGAATTTTCTAACAAGACCAATAACTTTTAATCTAGTTAATATTTTCGTTTTAAATTATTATATTTTTGAAATGTAACAATATAATTAATAATATTTTATTATTTTAAAGAAAAAATATGATTTTTTTATTTAAGAAAAAAATAGTCTATATTTAATAGATTTAAAAAAAAAATGTTTGGTTAAAAATATTTTTATTAATGTACATTTGTTACATTTATACATTCTAATAGCCTGTATCAAGTGTTGATCTATGTTGCGAATAAAAAGCTTTTGCTATAACTTTATTTTATGCTGGACCATCCTATATATATATATATATTAAAACTCCTATCTACTACCTTTACATAAATGTGATAAAATATAATTAAAAAAATAAAAAATACTTTTTACAAATAATCAATTGAACTGAGACACTAATGTATGTAACGTACGTCATAATTGTTTGTAACTAGTTCTGATATTTATAAAAATAAATGATAAAAAATTATTTTCTAAACCAAAAACTATATTAAGCATACAGAAATAATATTTTTTATTTTTATTAGTTAGAAATTGATAATTTGTTTGAAACCCTAGAATACCATTTTGAATATGATACACTTATTATTTACAAAGTTTAATGTATAAAAATAATAATTTAAAATAGGATAACTCAGTTTAAGGATCTTAAAGGTCTGATTGATAATTAATCCATTAAGATATAAACACAATGTTGTTAAAATAAATTAGTATTAAGAAAATACAAAGTACACATTTGATAACAATATACTATGTTAATGTTAATGCTGTAGAAAATAACATAGAAGAATTAGAATAATTCATAGAAGTTTGATAGATCTTTAAATATTTATGTTGTATTATATCTAAATGATTTATTTTGTTTTTAATTAATTTTTTCTTGTACTACATTAGTAGAATTTTATTTATAAGGCATTTAAATATTGTAAATGATAAAATTGAACATAATAGCTTTGCATGGTTTAAAATATGATTAAAACATTTCATTATAACTTATAGAAATCAAATCTAAAATGAAATTACAGTAATTAATTACTGAAAGGAAGTCAAAAAGCAAACAGAAGGTATAAGCACATGATTAATTATATCTAAATTACCAAAAATAATAATTTTAATTTGCTAAAAAAATATTAAAACATATATTTTTTAGGAATCTAAAAGCTTAACTCTAGTAAGACTAAACTGAACAAAAAATTTAATGTCCTCAGGTCAATATCAAACATATGTTAACAGGGAGAAACAGACAACTGTTAACTCATACAACTTTTTGTATAATTAACATTTTTCTGTATTTTTTTTAATAATTTTTAACACATTTTTCAACCACGTTACACACTCCCACTTTGTATTAAAATACTTGTAACTCAATAAATATTTATTCTTAGATTATTTTTGGCTCATTAATCATTTTGTAAGAAAAGTGCTAAAAATTGGCTATTTTAAAATGTTGAAAAATTTACAAAAAAATGTAATTAATCTTATGATTTATTATTAAAAACAAATAATAAAACTATGATTTTATCGATTTTAAACAAAGTAGAAACAATTTTTATAACTTAGTATCTTAAAACATTAGCAAGTCACTCATAAAAATATTATGAAGATATAATAAAGCTATACAGAGTTAAGTTACTTATAAGTTATAACAACAAAATAAATTATTGTTCTAGAAACAATAATTTGGTAAAGAATAAAAATAATTTAATACATTTTTATATCAAATAGACCATTGCATTAAGTATATCTATCTTTAAACAAATAGGTATATTAAACATATTTGTTGTAATTTTAAAGAGTTTTATTTGATTTTTTGTCTTAGTAAGAAAGAAAATTATATTCTACTTTTTTTAAAAAAAATAATATGATATTTTTACATGATTAAATACATCTAAAATACATACATCTTTACTAAAATATATTTTCTGAAACCTAATTTATCACCCTAATAGTACAATTAATATATCAGTATGTAATGGATATGCTATTTACATTGCCTATCATTAACTCAAGAATATTTGTGTTAGGCTTTGAAAAGTTTTTTTTTATAAACATAGATTACAAAAGCCTTAATCTTAGTTAATAACATATAACTATGTATGATTAAAAAAATAAAAAATTGAACTTTTCAATAGCATCAGTAGAAAGTTAATTGTATAATCCGGTCGATGCGTGTTGCTGATACTGACACTATGATTTCAGTATATGCATATTTGTATTATTGACATAATTTGTAAATATTTTTATTGTATATGTACTAAATTCAAATTTGTAATTTGGGCTTGTCCAGTTAAAATATATAATAATAATTATAGTTTATATTTTTAGTAAAAATAATTTTACAATAGATCTTGTAAAATATTGTAATGTATAAGGTTAATATTTTAAAACATATTGTATAAAATCAAAAATTAATGCAATCTTTATTTGTTTTATGCAATTTTTGTGACAAAATATAAAACTTCAAATACTTAGTTTAAAAAATAAGTCAAATTGTTTATCATACTTGTATATATATCATACTTTTAATGCTAGATACTCAATTTTTCTTGGCTATTATTATTTGCATATGTATTTTCATTATCTGTTATAATATATTTATCATGTTCATCCCTTAAACTTTATAAGGGTGACAACTTTAATTTTTCTAATGAAAATAAATATATTAAACTAATTTATTAAATAAAAAATGATTTAATTAAGAAAATGACTTGCCTAAGACAACTTTTGGATCAGTATTTCATAATTATTAATAATTTAGAGTAATGACTGAAGGTAAGAAATAAGTACTATTAGTTTAACTAGTCTTTTCTTGACCTCACTCTTCTTCCCTCCTAGGGATAAAAATGTTAACAACTTCTCTGAAATACTGGTTCAAAAATTGTTATTGACCAGTCATTTTCTATTTAATAAACTAGTTTAATATGAATTTTTCCATTAAAAAAAATAAATTTGACACCCATATAAAACTTAAGATATAAACATAAAAAATATTTTGTAACAGATAAAAAAAAAATACATGTGTAGCTAACAAAAATCAAAAAAATATTACTTTAAGAGATATTGAGTTTCTAGTATTAAGAGAATCACCCTGTATTTATATACATATAATATATTTTGTACTCACCAGCACTGTTGACTATAATCATTTGCATCAAAAACAAAAATATATGAATAAATGTAATCGCCATGAAGGAGGCACATCGGAACGACTTTTTAAAAGTAACAACCAACAACACAATTAAAATTTAAGGTAAAACACTGTAATTTGAATTTACATGAAATAATATAAGGGTGAACACTAATTATAATTTAATTGAAAATATTTCACTTTACTTATAAAAATTTGGATGAAATGATTACTAAATTAAAAGTTGAATTAGCCATAGTAGTTGTTCAAAATTAGATTTCTTATAACATTTCACGAATAAAAATCATAATACAAAATACTTTAGATTTTGATAACTGAAATATTACAGGATTTTTAATAAACAGTAAATTAAAATAGTAACTTTACAATCTAAGTATTAACATATTTGTCCGTCAATTTTAAACGATGCATAAAAAAATTTCATTAGACACAACGTCATAACACTGAAAAAATGACAAATGAAACGTTAATTGAAATTTGTTAAAAAAAATCACAGATTTCAACCACTACACAATATTCAACGTGTAAATAAAAAACAAGATTATAATAACACCTAACAATAAAAATATTTGGTGAAATGGACTGATCACAACTGATGCGCGCGCACTCTTACACTGAAGGCAATACTATTGTACACACAACAGATAACCACTAAGTAACATGTGCACCTATTTTAGTTCACTCATAAAACTGTAGAATGCGCTTTTATTCTTATCTCTAATAATAATTATAGTTAGGTATATACACGGCAGTTGTATAACAATAAACAACTGCGGTAAAATAATTATTCTCAATTTCCATCAAGATTGTACTGTAATATCTATCGCTTATGCCATTTTTAATGCCTATTTTACATTTAAAAATGCTAGCATGTCTTAGAAGTGTGAATCGTGAAATTTAAGTTTTGCTTTATTCAATAAAATGTATAAAATAAGCGAATGTAAAACGTCCATAAAAACCAGTTAAGTATTTACTTTAGGGTTCAGATATCTTTCAAAAATTAAAGTATTAAGGACATTCGCTAATACACTATAATTGATTAAATTTAAATATATCTTGAGGAAACAAAAATAAATCTCATATTTGACATAAAACGAAACTAAGTTGTCATGATTATATTCTTTGTTTAAATTGATAACTCAAGTAATAAATCATAGTATATCTGAGTTTAAACATTTAATATAAATAAAACTATATTAGTGTCAATGCCTGCTTGGCTACATAATTCATTTACCAATTATAAATGTCATCATTATTACACTCATTTCAAAAAATTATAGCATAATATATCATATAAAGTTTATTTTAAATAGAAAAAAAACTAAAATAACTATAATTATGTAGTATATTAAACTATTTACAATTTTATGATTTAATTAATTATTAATAAAACATAGTATATGTATGTTATAGACATTTTCAGGTACTTATGCAATTTTGAAGTCTAGAATTATGACTGCAACACACATTTTTTTTAGTTATATAAGTATTTAATGACACCATATGATAAAAAATTAAACATTTGTAATAACTAAAAGTAGTAAGGAGATAAACCGTAAGAAAATGTACAATCATATTGAAAATACATTGTAATAATTATTAATAAAAAAAATAAATTATGATTTAAAATTAATTTTAATTCAAGTTTGTATATCTCATGTCAACAGTTTTATAAATATATATATATATAATAGTAATAATAATAAAAAAAAATTATAACAATTATCACATACTGTTGTTTACTAACAAACCTAATTAGTTCAACAATTAAATGAGGAATATTTTGATAGTATACTATTGCAAGATATGAATAATTAAAAGGAATACATCTAACCAAACTTTTTTTTTTTTTTATCTAAATTCATCGTCATATAAAATATTCATTCCTTCAATTATAAACTTTAATACTTACAATCATATTTAATAACAGTTAGGTAGAAAATATTATTACAGTAAAATTAATAATGTACAGAAACAGTTTTTAAAAAAGCAAAAAATAATATTTTTCTAAATACTTGTAATAAAAAATTTAAAACAGGTGAAGTGGTTTTCTGAATAAAAATTAAACAATGTGATTTTGTACATTATCCCTAATTATTTCTGTATCATTCATCAAATCTTGTGATGTATTATCACTTGTATCTATAATTAAAGCAATTAATCAATAAAATGTAAGTTATACATAATTAAATTATAAAAAACCTGTAATGAGTGTGGGATTCATATGATGTACCAATGGAGGGTCATACATATTATGGTAATCAGATGACATAGAGTCAGATGCATCTGTATGTGATGATGCTGTATCATAATCTGTATTGATTCCATTAATAGAAGCCAGCACAGGTGGATGAACTACAGTGTTATTTTCATTTCTACCTCGGGTAAAAACACGACCCTATTTATAAATATTTATCAAAAATATGAAAATATAATTTAATAAAAAATTTTTTTTTACTCTGAAGCTTCGGAATGTTCCAACACCTAATGTGTTTGAGTTGTTTATGCGAGCTGGAACCAAAGGTGTCCTATCATTTGGTTCATCACTGTCAGTATCTGAAGAGTAAGCAACTGCATGCAAATCTTGATTATCGCCATAAACTCTTCTTTTGCAGATAGGACAAAAACGACGATTACGTGTCAACCAAGGGTCAATACATTTACAATGATAAGCTACCAAAATAGTGTTTTTTAAATAAAATATTCAAAAGAAATAAAAAAAATCAACTAACCATGAGCGCAAGGTAAAACACGCAATTTCTCTCCTTCCATATAATCATCCAAACATATAGCACATGTATCATATGGATCACCTTTAACAAAAGTGGAAATTGGAATTTTACGCAATGTTGATGCTGGTAATCTATGTCTTAATGCTCTTCTTCTATCTTTAATCCATTTTACTACCTATATAATTAATATTTGGAAGTTATCGTCATTTCATTAGCCTCTATCCTAACTACTTGGGGTCAGCTCTACCTTACGATTTAAGTTTTTTACACCTATCAACCTGATGTAACCTCATTATGTCTGAGGAAATCAGTATAGGGGCAAGGTGTTTATCACTATTAAAGTTCACCCATCTGAGAACTAACAGCAAAGAGCATAGCTATACATCAGTGTTAAGGGAGAGACTGATTGATCTATTGCACCACACCACGCCTCTAAATAGTTAATAATTGGGAGTGGAAAATCAATTAGTTTGTCAGTTTGATTTATTAACATTTTTTTTAACACAGTATTTCTTATGAAACATTTTTTTTAATTAAAAGTTTTAATGACTTAATGTAATTAAAAATATATTTTATAATCAATAATACACCTATATAAAACTATGATTTTGATATACCAGACTTAAATTATATTTCATAAAAAAAATCAAGCATTTGAGGGATCCGAATCAACAATTAGTTATTGCAATTTTTTGACATTTTTAGGAGACATATTTTTTTTATATAATAGACATTTTTATTTTAAACTTTTCTAATACATATATAACTTATGATAGCACTAAACTTTAGATAACATTATTCTCAATGAAAATTACACTAAAATAAATTTTAGAAAAGTAAGACAGTCCTAAATTGCACTGAATTCTTTAAATAAAGATTGACAATAATAAAAACATATGTATGAAAAACAATGACATATTTACTATCAAATTGTATTTAATTTACAATAAATTGAAATTAACTAAAACAATAAAAAAAATTAAATCACCAAAAAAATAAAAAAGCAGTTAATAAGACAAATAGTCTTACATGAAAGAAAAAATTACTAGAGATGTTTCAAACTGATTTTTGATTCTACTTGAATCAAGTTTTTCTTTAAAATACCAAATTAAACTCTAACATACATTTATTTAAATCCAAACTTGACATAAATATTTCAAGCTTGAAAATAAAAGTTTTTATATATGACATAGAGAGTAATCTTAAGACTCTTTTAGGTAATGGTATTTATTTAGCTAAATTAGCCTATCTTTTAATTTGATTTTTAAAGTGAACCATTATATTAAATATTTGCCAGATTATTTTCAGTTTTAAGTTAAAAACCAGAAAACTAGTTTACATTTTTCAAACTAAAAATGTCTGTATTGTTGCATTGAGTTATTTTGTTAGTTACAATTTGCAAAAAAGAAATACTAAACAGTCTTACTTGTGAGATTAATAAAGTTATATTACCATAAATCCAATCATAGTAAAGAAACATACAGCTACAATCACGGCAAACGGCAAAAGAAGATTTAAATTGATATCAAATGGAAACTGATTGTTGTCTATTATCACATAATATCTAAAAAAATAATAATTGAATTCCAAAGACTAATTAAAGAATAAAATTAAGTATTTGGTCATTTATAAAAAAAATGTTCGATTAAAATTAACTATGGCTTCAATGATCAAATTATTTAAAATAAACATACCCATTGTTGTAATGATATTTATCTCGTAATGAATAGCCTGTATTTTCTCCAACAAAAACTGAAGGAATGTAAATATCACTAGCATTTTTTGAATCCATTGGCACTAATATAAAAAATATTTATAAAATCAAATTCTATATGTTAAATAGACTAAAATTTCTTAAAATCACTTACTAATAATACTAGAATTGATGTTAAACACAATGGCCAGAGAAAAATTACTATTTTGAGCATTTCGTACTTTAACATCAAAATTGCATCCACCTCGTTTAATAATAGCAAACCAGGGGCCAAAGTCAGGAGGAGGAAGCAAAGGCTTACATCCATCTTCGGGAAAAGCGTGTATTATGTAGCCCTGCAAAAGAAATTTGTATAATTCGTTCTTACTAATCAAAAATAATTTTTGTAAAAAAATTTATTTTTTAAATTAAATTTTTATAGCAAATTTCATTTTGTCAGTTGAAATTTATGAAATGTTTAATTTAAATAGATAAGACGTAGGCTGAAAGAGTGTTAACAATAAAACTATCAATAACACTAGACACAAATAAAGTATATGAATGTGTTAAAGCTTTCATGGATTGTCTTGTTACTTGAAGTCCTTGAGGATATATCCATGTTTGCAGTTGAGTTCTGACGTTTCAGACTCATTGCAGAGTCCATCTTCAGAGTGATGGTTGCTAGTTGGTGACTGCAACTATACTATAGTTGCAGCCACCGCAAACATGGATATATCTTCAAGCATTTCAAGCAACAAATAAAGTATACCTTGCTGTTTATTTTAATTTGTGTTATTATGCAAAATTATGTTAACAATTTTTTTTTTTTCTAAAAAAAGTATATATACTAAAATATATAATTACTTTAATTCCTTCAATTGGTATATCACCACCAAATAAAGATTGGGCGTCCTTAAACTCAATGTTTAACTGTTGATCCCCTCTTGTGTAAACACTTATATCACATTTTACTGTTGATACTAAGGCAATCAAGGCAACATATGCCTTAGCCTTTTTCAGCATTATTTACTAGTGATATACAACATCTGATTTTTAACTGAAAATTGACAAACAATAATAGTCTTTTACATATAAAAAGGCCAGGTTTATCTTATTTACATACATCTAACTATCCCAACAGATATATTTTTTTTATAACTATGAAAACATTTGATAGTAAAATTGATTTATAAAATAAGAATATAAAAAAAATTTCACATCAATAATTTCTAATTCATTGCTTTGTTTTGTTTAAAAATGATTATTTTTTATTATTATGTATTAGTATATAATATGTACTTGCTGCACTTAAGGCCATAACTATTTATTCATTTATTAAATTTATAAATATAAATATAAAAATATATGCATTACATAAAATTAAATAAGTTCAAAAGTTTCATTCATCTAGTATTTAAGTTAAAATTATGATATTAAGTAAACTATATTATTTATAGCTAACAAACTATAGGATATGAAAATAAAATAATATTTATCATAAATATTTCTTATAGTTAACAACAGATTTTTATCTATAAAAGAATGAATATTAAATACAATTTCTTGTTATGTACTTTATCTTTATAATTTAAATGTGTATGATCCTAGTATTCAATCTGATAATGTAATTGTTTTCTTACCTTTATGGTTAAATGTCACATAAAATCACATTGCACAAAAACTATTGTACAAAGACAATGAATAGTAGAGTTGTGTATATTTGACATAATTTACTGAAATAAAATTCAACACATTTAATTGTAAAACGAGTAAATATATTTCGTTAATCGTTATAATACAACGGAAACGGCCATAAAGCACAAATGTATGATTTTCTTAAAGCAATTAAATTGCATAATATAAATTTAGATATCAAGATTTTAAAAACTCAATGTATTTATTTAAAAATTATATTACAATCTCTATAAAGATAGAGAAAATGTATATTATTAAAACATAGAATTCTAATACTGACCTTGGCTTTGAAACTAGGAATTCTAAAGTTTCTAGTAACACAAAACCCGTATATTATTTTTAAAACAAAATAAAATGTGTAATTGACAAAGCTTAACAATACTACACCCTACACGACGAGTGAGCCAAAATAGATTAATAGTTGTAAAACAAGAGAAAAAATTTCTTAACACAAATAATATAAGCAAATTGTGCGATAACAAAGTACAATACGAGATAAATTGAAACGCAAAACACAGTAGTATTACATTGGTTTGTCTATATTATGTCAGTATAGAAAACTGAGTAGGTTCTACAACGATACTGGTGCTATGGAACATAATACATTTTACATAGCAAAATATACGGTTATCACGTACATTATTATAGACTAGAGTGTTTAACAGGCTGGCCTAATTGATAGTCAATAATAACAGAACAAGTTAAATGCGAAGTAGAATTTTCATGCACAAATATGTATATAAATATTAAAATAAAAACATCTTAAAAATATTTTGTTATGACAATGAACCTCTGATATTGTAAACAAAAATTGTATTTGATCAAATAATTACCACTTGTCATTATCAATAACGTAATTGAAATATTTTCTAGTCAGAATGCTTTGAATGGCAATTTTTTAAATTTTTTAAATGTCTTAAATAATACTTTATTTAAATTCTGTGTAAAATCACTTTTATACACAAAAACATATCATTTCATAATGATATTCCTTTCTGTAATAATACTATGGCAAGACATGTTATGAATGCTTTGAATTCCAATAAAACATTTTTATTAAAATATAAATTACGTATTATGCAGAATAACTAGGATCCGTTTAGCTATGGCTTTGTCCCAGACCTGGAGCCTTACAAACTTCATGCTCCTGTAGCGCATGAAACCATTTGTGCTGTCCTTTGTAAAATAGGTCACCAATTCCTGTAAGAGTTAGGTTTTGGATAAGTATTATGAAATGATTAAATGGAGTAGGATTAGTAGAAATGGTAATACAAAATTTTAATTATACTAATACAAATTTTGCTTTCTCATATTTAAATTTAAATGATTTTAACTAATATAAATTTTTCTTCAAAACCAAATATATAATGACAAAAACTTCTTTTTTATAAAAAATTACAAAAAATCATAAAAATACAATATAAATCAGTATACGTTTAATTGTATTTATTTATTTAATCGAAAATATCACTTACGACTATATGAAAATAATGTTATAATTGAGGTATATGAAAAAACAAATTCGTAGATGCAAGCCCAGATTTACTAATTTGAGGGCCAAGTACAATTTAAAAGTGTGGTCTCTCTAAAGAAAAACTTTCCTAGTTCTGTTCGGAATTAATAATTAAAATACAACAAAAAGTTAGTACCCATTTCTATCTAACTATATTAAAATTATGTTATATTATATATTATTACATCCCTTAGCCTTACTTTAGTTGCACAAGTGATTAAATCTAATTCACATTAACAAGATAATTATTTGATTTTATTTTGTTTAAATCAATTCTTGCTATAAAAACAAAACAATTAAAGTTGCCTTATGATATTACCATTAAAATCAAATACTTTAATTTGTTTTACATTCGAATATTTTTATATAAATAGTTTTACATAATAATAAACATTTAAAAAATAAAGTATAATAAGCATCCAGTAAACTGTAGCCGAGGTATTTTTTAAAATTTGTATTAATTGATATCTGAGAGTAATTAAAATCACTGTCGAAAATGTTTTGTTGAGTACTCGAAACAAAATTTAAAGAATTAAACTTGACAAAAAACACAGGATTTTTGACTTTAGATACCGAATACTCGGATAAATTACGGAAATTTTTTTCTTTTTTTAATCATATATTACATTAATCAATTTTTAATTTAGAATGAAGCAAATATTCCAATTCTATTCAAAAATCTTTTAAGTCGGCCATTATTACCAAAAATTTTATGTTTAACGACTTAAATGCTCAATAATTTTTAGAATTAAAATAGTTTTAAAAAGTCAGGTATTTTTGGAACATCGTCAAAAATTAAAAGTAAAGAATGTTCATATGATTTTTAAGCCTCCGCAGTATCTTGATCGTATTTTTAAAAAAAATGTAATGTCAACAAAGCAAATGTATTATCGATATAAATTTCGTAATAATCCATCCATCCAGTTTCTAAAAAATATTTCAATATAAATTGAAAAATTAAAATATGAACATTGATTGTTTTAAATAAATCTGTAATTTATTGGACAATTTCCCTTTATTATTAGGATTGAGAGGAAATTTTTGAGAATTATGATACCAATAGAATCAATTAGATACGTTTTGTGTTCTTTTGACATATAATAGAGCAAAATCAATCCAGTAGGTTATTCCCCTGAAATTTTAGATTCGACTTAAAGGGGACACTAGATTATACTCCAAATAAGAAGGGGGACTCCGTCCCTCACTTTAACCACTGTTCTACCTAAGAACTCATACTAAATACCATAGCTCCCCAAATTTGGGACCGTTACCTTTAATCCATGCCTGGTTTTTTAAATCTATCCCGTATCTCTCATTAGATCCCAATTTTATTTTTTTAATAGTGATACATATTTTTTAGTAAAAAATAGTAATATACATATTTTACCATCTAAAAAAAAAAGGTTGGTACCCATATAAGGGATAGACCTTAAAAATATTTAACTATTTATAAATCAAGAAATAAATACCACTGGAAAAAGCCAAAAATTTTTAACTTATTATTTTAGAAGAAATCTGGAGATCAAAGATAAATCAACCACTCATTATATTAAAGTCTAAAATCTCTATTTTTATAAAAAATTAGGTTGATAAACCCATAAATATGAATACTTTGAACAATTTCATTTTTAAAATAGACGATATAGTTAACTTACATAATATTTTTAACAATAAATTCATTAAATGTGTTGAAATAAGCAAAAGTAAGCATAATAGACAGTCTTTATAGTTGTCATTATTTTAAAATTCAAACTATGTAAAAATTAATGTTTTGTTTTCTGTAAACAATTTTTTTCAAATATGTGTTTTAACTTTTATTTGATTCATTTTATGATAACGTTCATTAAAAGACAATTTTTTTCAACATCATAATTTTTATTATCAATATAATAGGCTACATTTATATACACAAAAAAGAGAAATTAGGTTAAATATAATATACAATTATACTGTTCATATTTTAGACTAGACTATGTTAATATTTTTGTAAACAAAAAAAAAAAAAGGACACAACAACACTTAAAACAATATCAAAATAATTAAAATAACATTGAATAAATGTTTTTGACAATTTTCAAATGTTTATACTCTGTAATTATTTTTATAAAGAAAATACTTATTATTTAACATTAATTTAACTAAATAAAATAAAATTTCTCATTTATATATAAAATTTCCATACATATATATATATATATATAAATTATACATAAAAAATTAAAAATTGGTAAATGACGTTGTTCAGCTAGTTAAAATTCTTACCATATTTAAAAAATAACAACAAGCATTCATAATAAACAATATAATAATTACCTTAGACTGATGTCTGTTAACAAAACACACATTATAATATATTAAATATTTAACAAATACACAAAATTAAAGTTTTTAAAAGTGTTAAGTAGAGAGAATAAAAAATTAAGCAGGAGGAAAATATGAGCAACTAATTTCTTTGGTATAAAATTATATCTTAAATTAGATCATGCAATTACATAGTTAATAGTAATCAATTGTTTTATTTTTAACAAAAAATTAAAACTGCAGTAAACATTAATTACACATCATCATCACTATCACCAGCATAATCTGAAGAATCATTTTCATCATACACATTATAAGGTGAAGAAAAGTCAGTGACTAAAACTTTTGGTTGATTTGAGATATTGGAGAATGTACATGATTTTAGAACATCATCCAAATTAGGCGAAAGAATATCTTCAATATCAGCTCCATTACTATAAATTAAAAGTTAATAATTTAATATGATTAGTTTAAAAAAATATACACAGAAAAAAATTCAAAAAATGCTACTGTGTTATTTTCAGCACTACAGTGACTAAATTTGATATTAAATAAGCTTAAAAAAAAATATTGGTATATTAAAATACAGGATAATACTGTGCAAATCAATTGGCAAGAACATCACGACAGAAAAACTTACCACTGTCGTTTAATTTTGCCTTTTCAAACATCTTCATCTGTTACTCTGTAATAATATTATTAGTTTTTTTTTTTTTCATAAATTTATTTCTTATAATTAAGTATATTAATTTCTAATTTATCAAAAAAAAAAAAAACTTTAAATAGAACGTAAGTGAAACAATGTTAAAATACTTACATTTCTTCAGGAGCATCATTACCACTTTCTTCAGCCACTAACATTTCATATTCTTCTGCAGCATATTTATCCCAGTCAGACAACTGAAAAAAGAGAAAATTATTATAAAATAGTTTAAATAGTTATATGATATAATATGATTATCATTTGTTTTTGATAAAACATAATGATATTTTACTAACTTCATTTTCATTATCACGTTGTGAAGCAAATGGATCTCTTTGTTCATGATCAAGATATTTTTCAAGATTAAAGAATGTGTCAAAAAATATTGGTGTCATTTTACAAGATTTGAGATCTGCTAGTGATATTTTACCAGGGTATTTTGGCTTTATCATATCAAGCATCTAAAAATAATACAAAAGATATAGTAAATCATGAAAAAAGTTTAATTTTTTAAAAAATAGTTTTTTTTATAATAAAAATAAATTCAGTAATTATTACTTATAAATGTAGCAAAATTTGTATACATAAGGGAAGTCGAAGCAAATTAAGTTATAGGAAATATATATGTATTCTAAAAAATTGTTTATTTAAAAAAACGTTAAGATTTCACAAGTCAATAATTCCAATAAATTAAAGTTAATATTATAAAAAGTTTAAGATACCACCAATAATTAAACAAAAAATGAATTCTTTTAAAAATATGTCTCAAATCATATGTAATATTGATTAAACAATGCATACTTTTTTATTATTAAGTGAAAAATAAAATAAAATTTCAAAAATGTCTAGTAAGGTGGTATAAATAGGAAATTATTTTTTTCTTATGATACTCTCTTTTTGCTTAGTCCCTACTTCATTGATACTGATAAATATTGAGTAATAAGTCAAGTGTAATTAATACCTGACATAGGCAATCTTCAAAAGGTAGACATTCTATTCCTATGCTTTCCATTCTCTGTAATTGTTCATCATAAAAATATTCAAGTTCATACATAGACAAATAACCATCTCCATCTATGTCCATACATCTGCAAAACAAATAGTAGTAAATTAAATCAATGTATGTATAATAAATATAATTTATTAATAATTGATTATTTAGATAAATTCAAAGACAACACTAGTAATGGTTTTTGAAACAATGGGATAACAAATCCTATCTTAATCAGACAATTCAGGCTTAAGAGACACAACCTTTCCATAAATAGGCTTCTTAGACTTCTTATTTTTCCTCGCCATAATCCCATCTACTTAGGGTCGGCTATCCTTATCCTAAACTTCCACTTGAAACAATCTCTCACATCCTCTACGCTCACATCAGCTGTCCCCATATCGCATTCAAAAGCATCCCTCCATCTCTTTATTGGTCTTCCTTTACCTCTTCTTCTTTCTACATTAATTTCTATAACTGTTCTTACAGCTTCCGATTCCTCTTCTCATTAATGCCCACTTTAAAACTTCTATCGGTACTCTATCATACGCTTTTTTTAAATCCATAAATACCATACACAGCTTTTTCTTCTTTTCCCTAAACTTTTCTATTAGTTGCCTCACACAAAATACTAGCTCCATTGTTGACTTATCAGGCATAAATCCAAACTGATTTTTTGATACCGATGTCTCATTTCTTATTCTCTTATTTATTACCTTTTCTCAATTTTTCATACTATAACTCATAAGCTTTATGCCTCTATAAATTTCACACTCCGGTATGTCACTTTTACCTTTAAATATCTGAACTACAATACTATTCCTCCATTCATTTGGAATTGTTCATTCTAATAAGATTTTATTTAAAAGTTCCTTCAACCACCTTATGCCAACACCTAATAACTAACAACTAATATTTTCCATACTTTTACTGCCACTTCATATGGCCCCACTTCTTTATTCTTTTTCATTGATGCCATAGCTTCCAATAACTCTTTCTCACTAATTAAATCTACTAGTCCCTTATTCCACGAGATATCTTCTCGCAGCTTTTTAGATTAATAATTTATATATTTAATGTATGATAACTACTATTTCTTTTACTTTTATATAGAATATATTCTTATTTGCTAGTAAAATTATTTTTTCATAAATACTTATTTTCTAATAAAGACAAGCAAGTCTAATGAATCTAATGATCTTTGTTACCACACTTATTAAAATTATTCTTAAAAATAAATAAGGCATTTTAGTTATTTAATCATCACTTAGGTAAAAAGTTTTTTAATAGAAATAATGTTATAACACATATATCTAAATGTTGTAAAATCAATAAATTATTTCATAACCTTTCTTAAATGAAATTCTTAAAAACAGTACAAGAAAAAACCAAATAAATATATTTTAATTTTACCTAAACCAATATTCAATAGCTCTTGGGTGACGTTTGTCTTCTTCAGCCATAAGGAACCATACAAATTCTGTATAACTCATTTTTTCTTCAATATAATTATTATTTACACAATTTTTTTGTTTCCTTTTGGTAACAGTTCCAGAAAATATTCTATCTATTATACGAGTGGAAAGAGCTAAAAATAAATTTCAAGGCAATTTTTATTTATATTTGCGAGTATTACTTAAAAATTGTTTTTAATAAACTATATTACATTATAATATCAATAATTTTCTTAGAATATTGACATATGAATTGTTATTTATTTAAGATTATAAAGCATACTAAGTGAATAATAATGAATCAAAAATAACTTTCCACTTTTAACTAAAACTTAGATAACAAACTTCATGTACATATGTATAAAATATTTGTTTCTTAAAAAAACTTAAAAAGTGAAAGGTTATTTTGGATTCATTTTTTAAACTTGACTTCCTTTAAAGTTAACTATTTAAGATGAATAATATTAACATTCTATCAATAACTAATTATAAATATTATCTAATATATAAACATGCATATATATAATTTATACCATGATCACTATGCCTGGCCAAATCAGTTTTACTAATAAACAAATCGTGATCACGATCTAGTTCCCAAAATTTGCAATAAATTACATAAAAATGTTCATAACTAAAGTAAGCTGTCACTTGGTTAATGTCTTCTTCTTTTTCTAATAAATCAATAACTCTAATAAGATCAGATCTTCTAATTTCTGATAAACTCAGTTCACCACTCCAAGACGTATTAACATTATAGAATATTCTTGATATTACCTAAAACATATAAAAAAACATCAATACATTGTTTTATCATTAGAAAGTTTACACTAACCGTATGTACATATCTGGAATGAAATTCAGGTGCAGTTTTCAAAAATGTCAATCCTGGATGAGAATCTACTACGTCTTGGACTAGAACGATGAAGTTTTCTGGAGATAAGGTTTGTTTTTTGGGGTTTCTTGATAAAATACGAATAAATTTTGAAGACAAATCATGACACGTAGACCAAACTCTATAAAGTCAATAATTGTTTAATAATTTAACTTTAGTATTAAAAAATCATTCATAAATAGTATTACTCTTTCCAAAAATTCAAAAAACTATTCAAATCAATGGTAATAGATACATCACCACCACAAGCGAAGAATAATGGATGTTTCCAGTAAAGTGGGCAACTGCACAACTGTAATATTAATTAATGATTATTAAATATAAACTTTAATATACAGTTAAAATGGTTAATGATTCATGAAATTAATAAAACCTTAGCTATTTGACCAAAATGATGTTTAGCAGCTTGTGAATTTGGCAATGATTGAAAAAATTCAGTAATGGTTTTGGCAATACTATCCCATTGTTGTTGACTTTCAGGTTTTCCAAACGGATAATAAAATCTGAGAAAAACGAGTTGATAATATTAAAATAACTTAAAAAAGAAATGTTATTAACGTACCTAGGGATGAACACATTTCGATTAGCTTTTGTATGCCTCTGTAGTGTTGTGTGAGGCGGTGGTGCTCCTGGTTTACGAGTTTCTTTCGAGTAGTTCTAAAATAATACAATATAACAACTGGTAAAAACGTTATTCATATATATAAAAACTACTCTTTTCAGTAGTAATTTAAAAATCGTGTAGCATTAAAATGTTTCCCCAGTTCAATTAATTATACATCCAATAAAATTTCAAACATGAGGAAAACGCCAACACAATATTCTACAACCGCTCCTCGACATTGCTAATTCCACTTAAGACGTAAACATCATTTGATTTAAAAAAAAAAAAATTTAATGCACATCAAACAATTTTGGAAGGTTTTATACTATCAATTCATACTAATAAGTGACGTATAGAGATCCCCAGTCGTCAATGTTATTTCCTAGAATGATTTTCTTATTTACATTATTATTTTTTTTTATTAGTATTTTAACACTAAAACAACCGTAATACATTTATTCGTTTATATTGCAACAGCGCGTATCTCAATTTTTGCAGGTTTTCAGGATAATAAAAATAAAAACAAATTTGAATTACACATGTTTTAATACAAAAGGTGATTTTACTTTTATAACACACAATCAAACTACGAGTCTTACAAAAAAAAAAGGTGCAATAAAAAATGTTCAGAAACACTAATTATATCATTAATGACAAAAATCTCATTTGGACAGTTTACGAGATAGGCGCTGTTACAGTATGAGTGGCGATTTATCTGTTGGTCAATAAAATAAAACGATGTCAACAGGAAAGGAGTGCCGTTAAAAACCCAACAAAGCAACAGAACAACTTTTAAGACAGTACATAAATTTTAGTGAAATCCGTTTCAGCATAAATCTTGCTTGTAAAAATAAAAATTAATTTAAAACGATTCGCGTAACCTAAAATAATTGAAAATACAGGTTCCTTTAATAAATATTTTTACATAAAACATTAAACGCTCTCATCAGTTAAGGAAAACAGTACTTATGAGCCAATGATTTCATTGCCCATTCAAATCTATTGCTATGCCGATCGACCATGAAATAAGCAAAATTACATCATCGCACCTTGCAAACATATGCACAGGTCGTGTCGAAAATCCAGCGCACAGAACACTAATTTTGTCAAGTAAAACGCGTCAAATAAAATTGTCAATCAAAAACAAAGGGATGTTCGGACACATTCCCCGTGGAGAAAGGAACACATATTTAGAACACAAGTACAAACCTTGTTGTAAGATCTCGGTAACCTTTGTTTCCAAGGTTTATACGGAAACTTGGGTTTGTGGTTGTCTTCGACGTTGTTATTATTATTTTGCAACACTAATATTTGACAGGCGTAGCACCAGGACCGTACGCTCGTGACCATTTCAGCATAACGTACATGTTACGGGACGACTGGGATTTATGGAGCACGGCAAAAAGAACGGACGACGCGGCACGTCATCAAGGACTCGACACAACGCATCACAAAGTTTCACTAAAATGGCAAACAAGCACGCGGGCCGGGACTAACGTGAAACTGCGACGACCTTAGTCAACAATTAGACAACGCGAATTTATGAATTGAATTTTGCACGCATTGACAAAACCGTGTTACGACCGCGGCCGTACGACAAACCGAAGAAACAAATTAATTACTGTGCTTGTCCGGACAACTTTTCACGCGGCGAAGGCCACCGGTCGCGATGCGTTAACACGTTAGACTGGTGGTACAGCAGCAGCAGCAGCCGCTGTTGTTGTTATTATTTAACTCGAACACATGTTGACCCAGCGGTCAGAACACATTCACTTATGACTTTGCCAGAAAAAAAAAAAACCTGACTTGCAACATTCCCCTTCCCGCGCCCCCACATCCCTAGTTCGTCGATAAGAACCCACTTGTGCTCGAACAGTTCTCCTAGACTCGGTTGAATTGCTAACACGCGCGTGGGTGGAAAAATGCATCCTCAAAGTAATACTATGTATGGTCTATGATGAATTACTCACACCTAAATCAGCAATTTATTGTTCGCCACACGTACGATTTACAATGACACGTAAAACGTACGCACTAGTAGAAACGCTCACGCGCAAACTCACCTGAATCTTGCTGTGCACGTCTGAGCCGATATTCTTCCAAGATTGCGCAGTGGTGCCCGAGGAGTTCTTCATCAATTCGGTGGGACACTTCTCGAAGATGAGCACGCGCTCAGCGACGGATCCACGTGTTAAAAACGGCCGGACAGGATTCGACTGGTGGTTGGATCGGATATTTGCTCGTTGGTGATCAGTGAGCTCGGGATGCGGCACTTGCTCCTGTTGTCTATGAGCATGTTGGTTCCTCCGGGCCGAACTTAGAGCGGACAGTCCTATCAGGAATTCTGGCTTCACGCGACCGCCGGCATCGTAGCCGGCCCGCAGTATACCTTCTTTGCTAGGTACGGCCGGCTTTTCCAATTTCCTGCAGTTGTTCTCTATGACGGATCCATTTTTTAGCGCGTCTATCAACCGTTGTTCTTCTTTGGCTACTTCGTCCATAAATTTAGAATTCTTCGATTCGGCACCTACCGGTGGGGTCGGTTGGACTGATTGGCTTACGTCGTTTTCTTTATTGGTCTTTTGCTGACGATTGCGATACAGCCAAGACGGTGTGGCGTGATCGGTTTGCGTTACGGACGGAGCGCACGTCTTAACAGCCGGAGTGAAATCATCTGGAAAATTTTTACTCGTCACCGTCGACTTTCCATACCTTTTTACTGCGCCACTGGGTTTCACTACAGGATCGGGACTTGACGCTTTTTGTTCGAATTTTTGCAGTGCGTATTGAATAGAAGAAGCGAAAGGTTTTGGCGATAAAGAACGGGATTGCCTAGCGGCTATCCGCGCTTTGTCCTCGACCACGAATTTGTTCACTAAGCGCTCCAGACTGTTGGTATGAGGGTCGGCTAATAACTCCCGAGTGGTTTCTCCCGCGATCGCCGATTGCTTTGGTTGTAATGGAGTGAGTACAGAGCCGAACTTATCGGCAGCAGAAGTGTCTCCACGACGGCATGTCAAGATCTCGTTGGGCGCCAGGCCTCGAGCTTTCCACGTTTGATAGATGGCTTCCGCGTGATCGGATATTTGTTTGGCGATGGCCGCTATGTCTTCCTCCGGTTCAGGCGCCATATTACCAGAGGAACGATGGTTTGCCGTGGTGGTCATCGCACCGAACCTCACGCTAGGCCACAATCATTACAGCACTCGCCAATTAGCGATGGTGCCGTTTGAAATGTATTAACGATTTCTCATTGAGATACACTGCACCTGAAATGCAAAAAAACAAATTTTTTTTTAATATTGGCAGGAATATTCCAAAACGGACTAGCACAGTAGCGTACACGACGCTAAAACGTGATGTCGATTCGTTGCCATGGGACTTGAAACAGATCCGGGTGTGAAAATCAACACAATAACATTCTTGTTACCCCAATAATATGATCGATAGCAAATCTTGGTCGAATCATAAATTTAAAACTGCATTCAAGTTATTGGTGTAAAATTAGGGCGGTTAGATATTGTAAGATGAGAATATGAGATGGCGTGCACCGAGGAAAATAAACGACAAAAGGGCGTTGTCATAGTGGCAATGTCCAAAGAGGTGTGTAGCGTTTCGTTGGATTTTTCGCAAACTTCAAAAACGTATTAAAGTAATTACTAGCAGACCGTAAATCCACTGTGTAATAACAAGACCGCAGTGTTCGGGCGGAAGAACTATTTTTTATAATTTCGTGCGTATAATAACAGTATCGGATGGGATGGGTGTAGGACGTCAATGAATAAATATAATTCGTGTTTTAGAAAGGGACAGCGCTGAAACTGGTGCGGCAATCGCGTATGAAACGGACTGTCACCGAGTTGTTCGGTGGTTTGACTCCGACAACTGACATCACAGTGTGTTGATCTATATATAGATACTGCTATGGCAGTTTTTATTCGGTCTCATGTGCATACGACCCACAGTCATACTGAATTTTATACTCTAGTTTAGATAAACCGAAAACATTACTGTACATACATTACATTATGAAATTGATTCTAAACTAAAATATAAAAATAAAAAAATATCGCGTACGGCTTTTGTGGTTTAATCTCTAATGAATTTAAAGCATTATGCGACTTAAATTAAAATTATATATAATGGTCAACCATATCAGTAAATCCAACAAAAATTTTTACGTTTCCTCTCACTTAAATGTACCATACCCAGGGAACCTCATTCCTCTTACCTTCCACTTCTAACGTTTCTATCCCTCGAAACTCTTGAAGAACGTCGTTTACGTTTAGATGTATACTCTAGCTATTCGCAGGCAGTTTTTACTGCCCTATTTTTTTTTATGTTGTTTCTCTTTCCACACCCCTACTCGTAATACCCGGTCTAAAAATACATTTTATTTTAAANTTTTTACTGCCCTATTTTTTTTTATGTTGTTTCTCTTTCCACACCCCTACTCGTAATACCCGGTCTAAAAATACATTTTATTTCAAACACAGAAGTAACTAATTATGCAAGCAACACCCATCTTAACAGAATAATGAAAACTATAAATGAATTAAAAATAGATCTGTTTCTATCACCAAACTTTAACTTGTTTAAAATTTATTGTAGTTCTATTCTATGTAACACATAGCTATAAGTATTATTATATTGTGTATTATTTTCATTTAATTTTTGTAAATTTATAATTTTCTACGAACTATTGTATTATAGGACGTTGTTATTGGGCCTGGTCCGTTTAAAATTTAATAAATAAATGTGGTCGACTATTTTGATATCGATGTGATAAATGATACTCCAAATTAGACAAGATCTGCTTAAGATATTCAGTAACGTCGAGATTGTAATCAAAAAGCCATTCANTTGGGCCTGGTCCGTTTAAAATTTAATAAATAAATGTGGTCGACTATTTTGATATCGATGTGATAAATGATACTCCAAATTAAACAAGATCTGCTTAAGATATCCAGTAACGTCGAGATTGTAATCAAAAAGCCATTCAACTATACCCATGTTTCAGTTAATCGTTGAGTCGGGTCTGTGTGAAGTTTGAACACGATTTAATATGAATCATGTTAAACATTTCAATAGGGTAATTTTACTCTACGACTATTACATATACAACACGTAATGAAATTATAAAACTAAATCAAATGGCTGGAACAAATTGATGTTAAATAATATACGTATCTACAAATTTAAATTTTTTATGCTCCATAACTTTTTCATGATTATCCACTAAATTGAAAAAAAAATCGTACATGGCTTAAGAAGAATCTATTATTTGAGTAGGGACCGTGTGATTTCATTAAANTGCTTAAGATATTCAGTAACGTCGAGATTGTAATCAAAAAGCCATTCATCCTCATTATTTTTATCATTTTTTGTTTACTAAACTTTGGAACTTTGGAAATAAGTGGCATTGGACTTCAAAAACACCTTTTTATCAATCCCCTACTAGCCCAGAGATGTAAAAATAGATTTATGAAGTGATTTGTATAAATAAAGCCCTGCCCTATTAATTTTGATATAATTTGGTTATATATTAAAACATTGTCTAAATATATAAATTTAAATATGTCAATTTAAAAAAAATCCTGGTCAAATTATTAAAATATCTAACTTTTCAAGATTTTCCAGACTTAGTTATTTTAAAGTCTGGATTAGGAGGAACAAAGACGGTCATGATCCCAGGGCCTTGACATTTAGGACTTCAGAATTCTTTACTAAAGCATAACATACACATATGAAAATTATACGACGTCTGTAATAAATGTGTCCCATTAAATTTTGGACCTCGGAACTAACAATGTGTTAATCTGGGCTTGGTCATTTAAGTAATAAAATCACCATAACTCAAAAGACTTTTTAGGAGAATATTTAATTCTTTAAGAGGGTGGACGTTATAATCCCACACTGGAACTTTTTAACACGGATCATAGTTAAATCATGTGCCCATATTCACTTCATACGCACAGTAGTCTTTACCAAAGTATAATGGCACCTTTTCTTTTAGGATCAACTCTCACATGGTATAAGATTAGTAATCTAATTATACTCGTTGTCATATATTGTTGCATTATAGACAAGTCTATGCAAGAAAAAAAAAGAAGCGAATCGCGTCGTAAGTAAAACGATGATTAAACGATTATTTTTAGACTTAACAAATGCCAAGACACCGCAATAATATGTGAAGAAGATAATTGAAACGTCAAGAATTAGATTTCCAGACTTTTCAGTCTGATCGGAGGTACTGTTTTTATTGAATTAAGGTATAAAGTTCGTTACCCCACTAAGTTCGGTAAACCCTGCTCTTGTAGCGTTTTAAATACAAAGTCAAACAATACCATAATAATGAACATTTCTTACAAAATAAAAAAAAAATTTTTGTGGTTTTGATGAATTAAAACAATATAAATTTCTAATTGATCAACAATAATTTATGAACAGAAATACTAACACTGCGAAGGTCTATCTCAACATGATAACATCAGTTGTAATCATTTTAAAACGTAACGCAAAGAAAATAAAGGTCATGTCCTATATATATATATCGAAGGCATCGATGAAAGATTGTGTTCCGCGTTTATATTCATATATCGTTGATTATTTTCACACATGGCATGTGCTATACACGACAAATCCATACGCAAGTAGTAGTATAATGAGGACAAATACCGAAATGCGTAGATCGTTTCCGTTTTCCAACATAAAACTAATGAAAGAGAGTCATTAGTCTTTCAAAAAGTCGAAAACAAGGAAATTTATAGTTGAAAAGTTTTTTTTAGTTAAACGTATGGTGGTATCTAATTTCAAATATAATGAAAGAAGTAATGAGTTCTCTTTACATACTTTAAAGAATCAAACAATGCTATTTTTAAGTACACATCAGGAAGTACGAGGATTAATACTTTTATGACGTTTAAGTTAAAAGAATTCTAACGTACCAGTCTTTCAGTTGAACAAATGAGCATAAGTAATTTTTTAACTGTATGAGTTAAATCAGTAAATGTTCATTTAATGAATCAAGTTAACGTGATGTGTATTTACATTTTATAACTTGCTAAGAAACATAGACTTAATTTAAGAGTAAAATCACAACGAAAAAAATAATGTTACATAGTAATTTGATAAAAAAATTAAGCCAAGTTTACGGTTTGTCACACAAACCGTAAAACACACGGGGTGTGTTTAAATAAGAATACGATGAATTCTCTAATGAATTTATCTAATAAATAAATTGTATACTTAATAACAGATTTTATATAATCGTAAAATAATCTTATTATATAAATATAATTATTTAAATCAATGTAAATTTCAAGATATACAACTTTTACTGGATTACAAAATATTATTTTATGCTAATAATAAGCGAGGAACTAAGATGACATAAAATTGTATGAATATTAATAATAAATAAAAAATTCAATTTATATTGCTTTCTATTTATCCTATACTACAGTGATCAAATATTTATTAAATGGGCAAATAAACATTTTTAAGATATGAAAATATTGAAAATTAAAAATAAAAACCACAACCTATCAAAGAAAACCAGTAAATTAATATGTCTTTTATTTTTACAACAAATTTTGTACTCTGACCGTATAATTAATAAATTTAGATTTTTAAATAAAGAAAATAAACATAAAAATTTATTGGTTTTAAAGGAAATTATAATCTTAAACAAATTTTTAGGTTTAGTTTTAAAGTTTTGTTTCCTCTTTTAATGAGATTTAATTCAGGAAAACTGTTTCTTGAATTTATTTATTTATACATACATATATCTTAAAAAAACTTGTCTTTGTCAAAATAAACACTCGAAAATTAAGTAAATTTTTACAAACGCTTATTGAAAGTTAGAAATATATCAATTTAGATCTAATAATACCTAACGACTTAAATTCATAACCACATGAAAAAGTTACTGATGTACAAGTAAAATTTTATTTTTCAGAGGAACTATTTTTTACTATACTTCACGGGGAAATAATTTTATATCTCGTTAATATGGCAATTCTTTAGTTTTAGCCCTTAAATCAATTCTACAGACTAATTAGAATACATATCGTTGAATCAATTTTGCTATTCTATAAATATAACTTAATTGATTATTGTTCATAATAGTGACATTGTAAAAATAACAACATACTATTGTAAATAACAATAATAAAAATAATAATAGTACAAAAATTTCTCAGAAATAAATATAAATGGAAATTTATAGAACACATCGTAAATACATAAAATAATATGTATTTATATA